GAAGACGGTGATGACGAATGTAAGTTTTATGATTGGAATTCCGCGTTTTGAATTACCCGATTTTGAATTACTAAAACCTTCTGAGATCCGACGTCCAATATGTTTAACAACATTTGGTACAATTTTATCACTTAACAAATAATATTAAATTATTTATTTACTTATTCTTTTGTTTGTATGCAATTGGGTACTTGCACTTCAAGAAAAAGACCTTCCATACCGACACACGTCACGTATGACGTCAGCGTCGTATTAAAGTTGGGCTAAGTTTCTTCACATAAGTGAGAATGTTAATTAATGTGATGTTAATTAGATACATAGCCGTATCGCACATCGAATTAGTTGAAATATAATTATTTCACGTCTACTTCTTTAACTTAACTTAGAATTATTATTTGCTTGTGTATTTTGTTGTAACCGTGATATATTTTTGTTTTGTGTACCTGGCAACTTCGATGCATAAATAGTTTATGTTCCACACAGCTTCGTACCTGTCTTTGTATTAAGTCTCTGTATAAGTATATAGTGAAAGAATTGAAATCTTTGAGAAAGAATCTTTGCGAAGGAATTTAGAATGTGTCACTTAAGATAATTGATACTTGACGTTCTTGGCTTACTCGTAATGGGATGGAATGAACAATTGCTAACGTAAAGAAATGCCATGCTTCAACAATCAATCAGGATCGCAGATACCAACACTACGTCACTTGCAGATATCCCATTAAAAACGCGATTTTCTATGTAAAAATATAATTTTTTTTTACTCTCGTTGGCTCGAATTTTTAATTACAATGAAAGATTACAAGAAAAGTAAGAAATTCATTTTAAATAACCTTTTTTTGGACAATTTTATGGCATATAAAGGTGTAGTTATTAGAATCGAACGGGTTTTGTTTCATGATCAAAATATGAAGAAATAAATACACTATTAAGTTATTCTATAATATGTTGTAAAAAATTAAAATGTATCAGTTATTTATGCAATGGTTAAGAAATAATGATTAAGTTTAACTAATAATTTATTTTTTTTTTAAAAAAAAAGAGATTTTTTTAATTGGATTTATGAATTTACGATGAATTTATGAATTGCGACATATTTCTTAGTAAAATGGCATTTTCTGCCATTACTTAAACTTCGGGATTAAGAAAGTTTAAAGACAGTGTATCATCTCATTTCTTGATCTCTATTAATAAGATTATTATTAATCTTTAGAATATATCTTCTTAAATTTAATATGAAGATCATTAGATACCTCAGCTTCGGTTCTTTATCTTAGATACATCCATTTATTCTAAATAAAATTACAGCTTTTTTTAATTCGTGAACACTTTAATAACGCCTTGTTATAATGTAAGGTTTTCTTAGTCGAGTACTATGACAGCTAGTTATTAAAAGCAATTTTTTCGGCAAACTACGAACAATACACTTCGTTACCTTCACTGTGTAAGCTTAATTCAAATCACTTCCTGGTATGAAAAGAACTCGACCTTCATGAATCGTTTTCGGCGAAGGTTTCGATTTCATCAAAAATATTCATATTCAGACGATTATTAAGGCTGTAAAATTCTTGAAAATTAATAAATTTTCGAGTTTTTAAAATAAGGGTGAGATGAATTGAAAAATTTAAGAGTTATAAAAATTTATTCGAATAATTTCACTAAACGAAAAGGGAGAGACAAGGAAAGGGGGGAGGTGGCAGGGTGAAGAGGAGGGCAAGGTCGAAGCGCTGCTGAAGCTTGCGTCTGTGCATTCGTCTGCTTTTTTCCTCCAACGATTGGTGAGCGCACTTCGCCACGAGAGTCACGTGACTTTTTTACTGCTGCCACTCTTCCAGGGTTGCTGTATTCGCAAACCATGGCTAAGATAATTTGGCTATAAAGGGCTGAACCGGCCAAAACACTGCTAAATGGAAACATCTACCTTTCCTCCTATCCCCCTACTCATTGCGAAATGAGAGAGAAAGGGGGGGGGGAAAGAAGAAAGAAAATAACAAGAACTACAAAATAGTAGTCTTCTATAGGTGAAACTCCGCTTAATGTTAAAAAAATAAATAAATAAAACATTTTTATTTTTTACCGCAGAACTTTTTGGCAAGTTGGAGGCGTAGTTAATGATATTATAGAGTTATATTATTTAAAAAAATTCAAGATATTTTATTACATTTTTTTATATGTTAATAAAATTGTAAAGGAATTGATTTATGTTTAATTTCATTAATCGTCTGATTTTATTATTCAGATAAAAATTTTAATATAATTAATTTGTTAAATCAAAAAAATATTTGAGTTCATTTTTTCGAATAATTTTTCGTATTTTAAATTAATAAACTCTTTAAAATGCTTATGAATATTGATACATTTTCAAAAAAAAATGTAAACAATTTTTAAAACAGCGTTAAGGAATTGTTTACATTTCTGTAGTATAACATTAAAACTTTGCATTAATGAGACGCAGCATAAAAAAAAATAATAATACTGAAAAGACATTAAAAAAATATATAAAAAAGGGAAAAATTTTAATTTAATAAAAAATCCCGGATTTTGAGACTGTTGAGAATTATATAATAATTGGCCTATTTGTAAATTATTAGACATACTATTTGCCTTATAGTTTATAACAAATATATAAATTGTAGAATCGGTAAACTTTAGATAAAATAAAGCAAAAATACTTGTGTATCCAAAGTTCCTATTATGTTTCGATTAAATGAGAGAATAATTTCGAGCGTAACTGTGCTTCTTTTTTCGAGTAGAAGAATTCGTTATTTGTCTTGTGTTCAATATGAACAAAAAACTTTGAAATATATAAATATCTGAGAAATAATTAATGATATTTTGAAGTTTCTACAGATACATTATTTAAAATGTAACCAGAATGATGTATTTGTTCTTGTGGTTTATAATAGCACTGTGAACTATTTCAACAATTATGAATTAAATTAATGAAAATAATAAATGAATATTAAAAATTGTTTTTCGCCTGGAATTATCTTTGGATAAAAAATTTTTATAAATGCGTGCAAAATTTTTTTGATTCGCTTAAATTGTTCTCCATACGCAGAAACGCATTTCGCTTTCTGTGAAATACGCAACAAGCGAAATCAAGAAGGGATCCAAACTTTCGATCGCTCTCCTGCCATTGGCACCAACTTTTCCATATTGCGGCCACCCCTTCCCCCAAATTTTGAGGGTCAGGAATCTAAATTCGCCGGAGAAAAAAAAGGTATGTTTATTCAAAAAAAGTAAATTTTTGTGTTTGATTTCGTAACTTAAAATATCATCACCACTAAATAATTACCATATTTAAAGTTAGATCCTCAAGCCATTATGATTGAGTCCTAGTACAAGAAAATCTGATCATTATAGCAAAAAGTTATTCACGGTTGTTCCATTGGTCATCGCAGGGTTTTGATTTTTAAGGGGGACAAAATTAATATACACAGTTGCAAAAACACTTTAAATTTTACACATAAGAAAAGAAATTTCTTAAATCTGCTAAACATTACAAAAAAAAATTAATTATATTTATTTTATTTTTTTAAAAACTTAGATGAACTTAAAACGATTATTATTCATAAAAATGATCGTTATTTGTCTGAAATTGTTGTTCTTGCTTACGTCGCACTATAGCTGCACAATGGGCTATTAGCGACGGTCTGGGAAGCGTCCCTGGAGATTATCCGAAGACACGCCATCACAATTTTGATCCTCTGCAGAGGGGATGGCACCCCCACTTCGGTAGCCCGGCGACCTGCACGCGAAGTCAAGCTCTTTACGCTAGAACAGTTTAACGAGGACCAATACCGCATACCCTCGGTCCCTACTCAGACTGATCCAAGTGGTCACCCACCCGCACACTGACCGCAGCCACTGATGCTTCACTTCAGTGATCTGCTGGGAATCGTGTCTTAACAATCAGTCCACTGCGGGACATTTGTCTGAAATATTGAGAACTTTGAGATATTATTGAGGGGGGACGAATAACTTCCGTCCCCCTCCCACCATTGACACCCCTGGTGGTCCACACTGTACATCTTTATATAAGTATTTTTTATACTGAAAACAGAGTATCTTCATATTTCGATATCTTAAAATAAAATAGTAGAATTGATTTAAATTTCTATACTTATAAAATTGCAATTTTTGCCGGTCATGATAATGTGATAAACATATTAAAAGCTAAATATACATTTACTCACCTCTTCAAATTTGCATTTTCTTATGTACTTGTATGTGTTTCATCGACCCATGTAGCATAAATGAGGCCTTTCATCTTTTTTATTTGATGATATATAACTATGACGGAATAATATTTTTAAATAACCCTTTTTATAGTTTCTAAAAACTATTAACAATTATGTATTTAAAATTACTAGTTTTTGTAACCCTAAATATATGTAGTGTTACTATTATTGCGTCTTTAATGAACCATTTAATTTTAGAAATTAGAATCATGAACGATTATACTCTTTATTTCTCTGTGATTAAATATATCCATTTTAGCAATTTTATCATTTCGGCCTGCCACGTGATTTAATCATCATTTTCATTTCGTTATTTATTTATGGATATTTCAGGCATTAATTAATTTACGAATTATAATTTTATAGACAAAAAGCTTTCACCTTCTTCTTTTTTTCTTCATAATTTATTATTAATTTATCAATTTGCAATAAAATATTTTTGTTTCAAAAGTAAAGGTACTATGGATATTTTTAAAACATGTTGCTGCTATAATTATCTATGTTTAATATTTTTGATAAATTTTTCGCAGAATAAAATCGTTTGAATTCGTTTTCCTCGAAATATGCAAATAAAGATGTTGTGAAAACCTAAAAGAAGAAAAATAAATGAACATTTATCTAACGTAAAAATAAAGTCTTTATTATAATGTGGTAATATAGTAGTTATTATTTTCAATTATTCATGCATTTTCAGTCGAAGTATTTAATAGCAAGTTTAAAATAATATTTTTAAAAATGTCTTCTAATATTTTGCAGGATGTGAAATCAAAACATTTGGAAAAAGCGCCAATCTCGCCAAAGAAGTGATTTTGTGAATAAACAGCAACCCGATCTCCTTCAACAAAGTTTACTTGCGGCGAAAGAATGGAGGATGAGTGATAGTTGGCACAGCCGCATGGTGCTGTTCCGAAATATTTAATTGTTTATGTATTGTGAAAACATCTTCTGTCGCCATAAATCCTACGTAGCAATATTACCTCACTTCAAATGGTAGCAAATCGGATGCTTATTGTTGTTTTCATCCCAGATATATGCAGTGGTGGGGAGGGAGGAACTCCACCAATTCAACAGCCATACCATCGCAGCGACCAGACGTAGACTGGTTGCCCTAGCTTTCGTTACAGACATAACAAGCGATAAGACGGAAAAGCGATGGTTGAATTAAAATGATGTGGACGATATCTGTCTGCTACGTGATCATTTATGATCCCAGTGTGACTGCTGCGCCCATGCCTGTCCACTGTCCGGCAAGTGGCACCTAAATTCCAATGAAAAGAAAAGTGGCATGGAAGCGGGCGGTGGTTCCAAGCGGTTGATGTATACACCGCATCTGAAAAAAGTTCTTAAAACATACCAGGCCTCTGCAACAAACAGTCTCCATGGCCCGAATACAGTTCTGGGCGTCTGGCCAGGATCTGAATCCGACGACACACCATCGGTCAGTCCCCCGAGCTCAACGTACCCCCTGCCCGCGACCGATACCGCGAAAGATCTAGCCAGTGGTTCCTCTGATTTATCGTCTGCTCTAACTAAATCCAAATCAAGTTCGTCTGCCGCTGGTTCCAGCAAGGATATCATAGATTATGACCCTTTCATAGCTCCACCACCTTTCCCCATACAGCAACCACCCATATTTACCCCACCTGATCAAAGTGGCTGTAAAAAATCCGAAACAGTTTTAGAAGGTGAGACCATATCTTGTTTCAACGTAGGGGGCGAAGAACGACTCTGTTTACCACAGATTCTCAATTCAGTCCTGCGAGACTTTAGTTTGCAGCAGATTAATAGTGTCTGCGATAATTTGTACATTTATTGCTCTCGCTGCAATTCTGCACAACTTGAAGTGCTCAAGGCGACACGTGTGTTGCCTTTCAATGCCCCAAGTTGTGGCCTCATCACTAAAACGGATGCCCAACGTCTGTGTGCAGCACTGCTGGATTGCAATCCTCCGATGTTCACCAAACCTGACTTGAAACCTGCCTTTCAGGTGCCAGTGTATCACGAATGCTTCGGAAGATGTTCGGGACTGTACATGCCTGATCTGTTTCTTCACCCACTAGATCCATGTATAGAGTGTGCCGAGTGCCATGGTTTATTGAGCCCCCAAAAATTTGTGTGCCATGTGCACCATCCTAAAGAGACTCGAACCTGTCACTGGGGGTTTGATGTTTTCAAATGGCGCAGTTATATCCGGTTAGAAATTGAAGTGGAAGAAAATGTGCAGTTTCAAGAAGCTCTGAAGGAGATGAAACAGCGTTTCGATATGATGTGCAAGAGAAAACAGGTATGCTTAATTTGTTTTGTTCTAGTCCACTTACTGTACTCTTGTCCACTTACATAACTGTTTATTTTACAATGCCTGTCAGGTCTCATTACGCACGCCATCCCCTGATTGAAAATACTGAATGTGTACACACTGTTGAAGAAGGACAGGGGTCCAAGCCAAATTTGCTACCGTTTAGCAGTCCCTTCACAAATTCAACTTTAGGAAAAATTGTAGTTCCACAAAATAGTTTTTCTTAAAAAATTTTTATTGTATCCCTTTTAAGAAACTATAAATCCATATTTTTGTATTGATTTTTTAATATAGTTTTTAATTTTCACAAATTATGTCTTAAATTTTCACAAAATAGGTACCTCTCAGTAAAACCTAGACAGACCCCATCATGATCTGTCACACCAATTATAATCCCCAAGGTGCCAAATACATTTTAAACTTGCAAATTTAAAAAAAAAAAAAAATTGTGCATATTTGCCTGGGGAGACTACGAGTTATACCTTTTGAGTTCGTCTGTTTCTGTGATGTTTTTTTTAGTTTCTCGCGGGCCACTGCCCGGAAATTGTCAAGAGTTGGGGATTATTCTGCCACAGATCACGACATGGAAATCTTCCCCCATTGAAAATATGAGCTATTATTTTAATGCGCTCAAGTAACACATAAAATATCCTACTCTTGATTCCAAATATTGCAATTTTTATTTGATGTCATTACAATATTGTACATTGTTTCCCACTTTTTGTTAAAATTGATTTTGACTAATCAAGTTAAGTGTCCATTACTGACTGCAATGTTCATTTTCTTCCGTGATCTCTTTAAAATTTGTTATGTGCAATATGGCACACTTTATTGCATATTGAGAATAATCCTAAAAGTATTCTCGGTTCGAGTCTAGACCACCTAGAAAAATATACCTCTGCTACTGTATGACACACATTTGAATTCTATTTTTTAAAATATGTCATAATTTGATGCCTCTTCCACAGAGATAAATGAACGTAAGAAATAGTTTTATAGAACTTAGTTTTTTGTCAGCTCTTAAATTGGTCTTCTGCCGTTAATTGTAGTCTTCAATTTATTCAAACAAACTTTTCAGTCTTGGTTTAGGAAGATTTCCGTATCTTGATCTGCAGCAGAATAATTGGCAAGTCTTGGAAACTTCTGGGCAGTGGGCCGCGAGAAACTAAACAAGAACATCACAGAAAGTGACTAACTCGAAAGGTGTAACTCGTAGAAAACCCCGGACAAACATTTACATGTTTTTTTTTAGTAAAAATTAGCAAGTTTAAAATGTATTTGGCAATTGTAGTTGACTCGACAGATCACGAAACGGAAATATCCCCCTTGGTTTGTGCGTTAATGTCATAATTTAATGAATACTTTAAATACGTCTATTTTGTTTTGAATGATGATCTAAAAATAGATAAAAATAATTTGATTTACTTGCACCTGGCTAACCGAAAAGTGCCAATGTTTATTTTCTTAAAACTCACTTTTGAATTTTGCTTTCTCTTTCAATGCTTCTTGAGATTTGAACTGGAAGACTTTAAATTCGAGCCTGAGATAGAATTTTTTGTACTAACACACTCATAATTTAATATGGCAGATATGGGTCAAAGTTTGTGAAGACGGAAGCTAAAACATACAAAAGAAAAGTGATATTAAATATGTTTTTCAGATTACTCACTTACGAACATAAGTGCATCATAGTTTTTGCATTTAATAAATTTTTTTTTTCGTTTAAAAACTGAATGAAACAGATTTATGTTTATTTGTTTAGTTTGAAAGTAGTTGTGAACTAGATCCCAAAGACTTGTTTCAGATAATTAGTCTACCTCCTGAATTTAACTGCCACTAGTTCTCTGTATTCCGACAAAGAGCCACTTAGAAAATATTTATGTTCAAATTTTTATAAAGCTGCACTAATTTTTCAATATCTTAAATATGTTTTTGGTGCGGGAGAATCACTGTTATAATGGTACCATTAGTTATTCGTTGTTTTTTTACTTTGTCGAAATACAAATAAACATAATTTTCTGTATTCCGACAAGGAGCCACATAGAAAAATTTTTATGTTCAAGCTTTTTTAAAGCTGTATTAATTTTTCAATATCTTAAATATGTTTTTGGGACGGAAGAATCACTATTAGTTATAATGGTACCATTAGTTATTCATTGTTTTTTTAAGTAAATATTTAAATAAAGTTTCAGTGCTTTGAAACCATTATATATAATATACTAATTTCTGCTCAAATTATTAAAAACTAAAAAAAAAACATGTGCCTTACAAATGTTAATGCAATGAAAACATTGATTTGTTTTGATAGCGTTATGTAACTAAATTTTTTACACTTTTTTTTTTAATTGATTACTATTGAGTTAAAAACAACTGTATAACTAATAGGCAAACGTTCAAGCAAATAATACAGAAAACTGAATAACTAGTTTAAGAAGTTTTACCACTGTTTATCAAATTAATTTCATTCAAATTATTAAAAAAAAAAAAAGCATTAAAATTCTACAAGAATCTTCGCAATAATATTTTTAAAAAAAAATTCCCTTAAACAACAAATACTTACATTTTTTAAACAATTGTAGTTCAAGGATTTATTTAAAAATTAAAAATGAAAGCAAGTAATTTATGAAAAAAAAAAATCTATATGAAACGATTTGAAAACATGCATTATTACTTAATTTTATTAAATGTAAAGAGCTTTGATTTGTTGTAAAAGTTATAATTTGTTGTAATGCTCATATCAAAAAGTAATTGTTTAACAGTGCTATAATTAAGATTTGTAGAAAGTTGTTTACTTTGTTTGATGTTTGTTTTATACCTTTACATCAGGGTTGCACAACCTATGACCTGTGGGCCAAAACTGGTCTCCGAGTGTATGAATAGGTCCCTGAACAGTTTTTAATATTAGTAAAAAAAATACATTAAGTCTCTTCTATAAAAATTGTACGAGAAACTCTTTTATTTTTATTTTTTACAGCCTTAGAAAAAAACCACTATATTAGAAAGTTATTTTTTTTTCAATTAATTTTTTTACTGGTTATTTTGTTCTTTAATTTACTTGTTTTAGTGTAGCAGTATCGGTACTTGATTTTAACCATTATATTTTCAAGTTTTATTTATCGTCATAAGTGTAGTCCAATTCCAACGAAAAGTATATTCTTGCGAATTTGACTTGTTTACTATGTCTAAGCACGTTACATTAAATCAGGATCTAATCTAAGGATGCCGAAAACTTTTAAGATTGCAGTTTTCTTACTCATGTTTGCCCCCAATAGGGCATTTTTTGTGCTTGTTCTTTTTGTGCTAAATATAAACACAATGCAGTTTTAAATTCATCTTTTTATGCGATAAACTTTCTTTACCAATAATATAATAAAAAAAAAAGAAAAAAAATACACTGTTGAAGTCATACAATGCAAACTATATAAAAGTGTAAAAAGTAGTACTACTTGTCTTGAACAATTCATAGTTTAAGAGCTCAGACCTTTGAAAGTTTGACTTTTTTTTCAAAGTTTTTGTTCTGTTTTCTATATTTTAAATATCAAAATGCTTTAATGCAATGTGGTAATTTGTTGAGTTAGATAAAATTAGGAAAGTATTTAATCAGTGATTTTATTATTTTTTCTACAGTGTTTATTAGAGTTTAAGATTTAAAGGATCAGATTAATTATTTCATGATATTACTATATCAAAAAAAAAAAAAAAAANCACATGTTGAACTATAAAAAAAAAAAAAAAAAAAATGTTTCCGGGAGAATTAATTTCACAACTCAGTGTGTTTTCAAGACCTTAAAGGTTAATGAAATACAATGTTTTGTATGATTTTGCCTTTATATAGTATATATATGCCATACAAGTATATTTCTATAGCAATATTGATAATTTTAAATTATTATATTTTTTATATGTTATTGGTATTGAATATTAAGAAGAAATACAATCTGTAACAATATTTAAATTAAGTTATTTTTAAAAAATTCAACTTTAAATTATCTAAAATTATGATGTAAGGAACACTATAACAAGGTGGGAAATTTCCACACCCCAGCTCGTCATTGGCGATCAAATATTTAATGCTGGCACGCAAGTTTCATCTAAATTTAAATTTTACTGTTTATGTTCTGATTACTGTTTTTTAGTGAACGACAAAAATACTGGGCCCTCCACTTTTTACTTACTAAAAACTATTACTTTTTGAAACATTGAAATCTTAAGAGAGTATTATTTCAATTCGATATTAATATTATTGTAGAACAGTGGTTACCAACTGGCGGCCTGCAGCGCCTTTTTTTGTGGCCCCCGTGAACTACAATATATTAGTTGTCATTTTTTTTCGGACAATTTTCATGAAAAATCTATATGGGTTTAAAATACTTTTCTTTCGTTAAAAAAAAAACCTAATTTCTTCGTTTCTGTGAAATTTAACATACCAATGGTGCAAAAAAATTTATTTCTCAGGTTTTGCGGAGAAAATATTTATTCAAGAAAATATTACTATTTGTAATTCAATACTTTTATTTTGTGCAACTTGTTAAAAATCTGACAGTAATATTTAATGTTCTTTCAAACATTAAACACACCTATATAAAATTTTGATAAAGTTGTGGCCCGCCATTTGACTGGTGTTTTTAATTGCGACCCCCGACCTCATGTAAGTTGGAAACCCCTGTTATAGAAGGCATACTTCGATTTTTTAGTTTCTACATTCTTCTATGTTTTGTCACTAAAATGTTTTTTGAACTACATTTGTTGTTATTTTAATTGTTTATTTTTTCAAGATTCTATAATAGTGGCGAGTTAAAATTTTAGTCTGGTTAGTATTGTTGGAACTGAAATTTCATGCCATGCCTTCATAAGGCAACATATTTTTAATAAAAAAAATGCTTCTTTTATATATATATCCATATAATTGTGATGCCACAATAGGCATTACATATTTCCTAGCTTTTAAAGTTTTTTAAAGCTAGGAAATGTGTAATGCCTATTGGGGC